GATTATCGATTATAATCGAAATATATTCCTTTTTTAATATAATCACCAATTTTAAGGGTTTTTCCCCCAGTTCTTTTCTAATTAATGTTAATGTAATTATTCTGTTTATTTATTCAACAAACATTTATCAATATATCTCATTACATTCACAATAGATGTGTAACATTTATTCATAGACAGGTTACAGTAATATTTACTGTAGTGATGAATACAAAACTATGCATACAATGCATATAGCTTTATGCTGTTGAGCGTTTCCTAAATATTCGTCAAATTTAATGGTTAGTTTACTTCATTAAGTGTGTTATACTAAAACAACAAAATTCTGATTAATCGAAAATATGTTTTTTTAGAATCGATGATCATATTTAATCCTTCTTTCGATCGATTTTCGGTTATTTTCGATCATTGGAACACCATTACTGAACAGAGGGGAATACTGATTGCATATGAGGTCACCTTCTTTGGTCCTTGTGAGAGATCGGATTGTGGGCTTGCATTGTGTGAGTTGGCTCACCTTGTGTCATCGTAACCTTTGTTATATGAAAGGTTGTTCATGCTATCAATCATTGGTTTGGTTCATACTCTATTACTGATAAGTTGTTTGGCTTTGTTGTTGCTGATTGCACAAAACTACAAAACTAACTCTTGAAGTTGCAGTGGACATACTCTCAATAACCATGAAGTGATTCTTATCAATTTATCAAAATATTCTCACTTCAAATTTCAGTGTCAGAAAATTACTTTTTCAGTTCCCCGTTTTAGCAAACATTATTTTTCATGCAGTACTGAAGGGACTTTATTTCAGCTTGATGTGTGAGTGAGTGAGAGAGATGGTTTATACTCAATTTGAACAAGATTGCACCAAAAACACAGCAGAGGACAACAGAGGATGGCTTTACACTTAAAGCCGGCATGTGATGAATCGGACTCTTGATTTCAGCGGGGCGGTTGGGTAGCCTAATGGTTAAAGTGTCCGCTCGTCACGCCGAAGACCCGGGTTCGAATCCCCACATGGGCACAATGTGTGAAGCCCATTTCTGGTGTCCCCCGCCGTGATGTTGCTGGAATATTGCTAAAAGCGGCGTAAAACCAAACTCAGTCAGTCAGTCAGTCTTGATTTCAGCGTGATGAGCAAACACCTTAACCACAAGGCCCCCCCTTGCCATGAGCTGCTATGAGATTACATAGATACATTGAATATTTATTGATATTTCCCATAGAGGTTTGTGTTTGTGTATCCATTAGGCGGTATATGTGTTTAAAGATTTAGTAATTCAGAATTGCATAGTCGAACACATGCATTTTCCTATTTATATACACACAATCACATGATATGTGCTTGCATAGCACCTTGACATAGACAAGGAAATAGATTATGTAAATGCAATGATTATTCATGTGGAAAGATGGGTTGGAAACGAGAATTATCCATCAAATTTGACAGGAATCAAATATCATTTGAATACAACAGTGACCCAGACGAAGATAAGAGACCCCTTACATCATGTTTGCCAGGCCACTTGTACATTTCAGTCCATGCATGACGTCCAGAATGACGTTGTATTGATATAGCGTTTATAACGACTGAGTGGACATGTCATACAAGATTTATGCGACGGTTGTCAATAACATGTACATATCACCCAGAGGCCAACATCTGCAAGGCAATACACATCATATCATCCTCTCAGAGAATGCTGTGGTCACGTTTCTTGCATGCTAATTTCAACGGCAGAATGGAGGATTTATGGGTGCACTGTAGCGTGGTGAATTTGTATTGGCAGTCATTCATAAAAGTCAATCTGTAGCGAGCAAAGCTCTCATCATCCATTCCACTGCAGTTTTCAGAGCTGTTGTTAATAGCTATTCCATAACACTGCTTGGAAACATACGTGATCCTCAGGGCAGTGTCATTAGCTCAGTTGGCCCACTGTTAGCTCTGTCATGAAACGTCAATGTCAGTTTCAAATGCTGAGCAAAATTTGTATGACTGTCGCTTGACATTTGTATTCCAAGATTGGAGAAATATGTCCGCTAGTGATGATGGTTTAATTTGTTGTAACAAGTGTTGTGTCTCAGAATACTGATCAGTCTATTGCGTATTTAACGACTCGTTAATTGCATCTGGCAGTGATGTTGGTCCATAGCTGTTTTTGTCCTGGCGTTACTTGACGGATCTGCATCCAGATTCTGGTGAAGGCAAGGCGCCTCAAGGGTTCCAGAATTAAACTGAATTAGAATTCAGCTGTTATTATGTTACAAATATTGCTCATATTATTAAAATTGGGTTTGATGTTTGAAATTGGAAACTGCTATACTTTTTCATAATCTGTAATGCCAAATTCAATTTGGAGGAAAGAACCTTTTTTGGGGTCGAGATCAAGGGGCTGCTATGAAAACATGCAGTTGTCATTGAAGAAAGATGTTTTAAAAGGTTAAAATTGGATACAAGATCAGACAGTTACATGTTTTAGGTTGTGATTTTGAACTATTATTGGAGCTGTGGAAAAAAGGAATATGTTATTTATCCACATGAAAATATCAGAAGTAACCATCAGGCCTCCATGATTTTCATGAGCCCTGACCAAGATGCGAGTTTGATGGTTGACACGTGATCCAGCGTGATCCAGGTTAAGAATGTATGATCATACCTCACTGAAAGGGATCACTTGTTTTGAGATGTTTTGTTTGTTTGTTTATTTATTTATTTGTTTGTTTGTTTAATGCAACACTGAACAATTTTCCAGCCATATGATGACAGTTGGTAAATAATTGAGTCTGGTTCAGACAATCCAGTGATTGACACATGTATCAACCAAGGTAGCAAGCATGACTGCAGGATCCAGTTGTGGCCTCTTTCAACCAGAATAATTGTCTGAAGACAAATTCTAACCCAGATCTTCACGGGTCAGTTAGATTCTGGGACAGAATGGGTCCCTGTCCTTTGTTTTCTGAAGAGTCAGCCTAGATGATTCTTTCAGTTAAAGATGTACGTCATTTTCAAGACTGGAATATTTACAGTGAATATGGTGGTAAACGAAGACAGTACAAAAGTTCAACTTATTCAGACTACAATTTTCCCCATCTCTCAGATGTCTTCTGTTTGTCAAAATCATGAAGATACGACCTTCAGTACATCAGCCAAACTTGGCAACAACATCCTCATACTTTCAACCCCTGTTTTCTTTGACCTTGACAGTTGTACATACAAGTTGTTGTGTAATAAGATAATGTAGATGACGGAACAAACATTCACCAAGTCACCAATTCCACTGTGGTATTTTGCTTTTTTCATACTAATGTTTCGACTCTATACATAGGTACAATTTGTGAAGCCCATTTCTGGTGTCCCCCATGGTGATATTGCTGGAATATTGCTAAAAGCAGTGTAAAACTAAACTCACTCACTCATACTAATGCTTCATCTCATTAATCATGTGAGTTTTTTTCCTGTTTAATAGCTTCAAAAGTTGCACATTTTTTTTATTTGAATACCTCAAGGGAAATGGTATGTAGTTATTTGCTTTCAGTATTTTTTCTAACGCCTCATGGTTACTGAAATAAAAAAAGAATTCATTCAAATGGAATCACGTTTATTTTGGTTGAAATGGACACAAAAGGAAGTACATTTCCTCTTGAAATAGTCATTTCCTTGTGGTCTGAGGTAACAGTAATGTAAATTCATATTGTTTAAGTGCTTACACTGGTTGTTGATGGCTGTTAAGCATGCTTGTCATCAATAGATTAAAAACAGCGGGAAACAGGCCATTAAATACTGTATAACCTTGTATTGTTTTATGACCCCTTACATGCGATAAATTGTTTATTTCAATTTTGTACTTGTTGGTTTTAACATTCATCAAGTCATCTGATGTCTTTGCCCTCTTTGATTGGGTCCATTTTGCCTGGAGTAAATGGATTTTGCAATTGACGATCTCCACGGAGTAATACTGGACATCCTGTCACTAAAAGCCTGGGAGTCTCATCACGGTGCCGCTATTGTCAATGTCATTAGCTGATCTACAGTGTGATGTAATTTGGATCTTTATAAACGATTTGTACAATCTTACTTGATGGACTGGAGTTTGTCAGCAAATTTCCTGTAAATGGATTAATTGCTTTGAACTTTGTGTTGGATGCAAATGCATCAAAAGTTTCTAAGTAAATATCAGAGCTTTTGAAATGTAAATTCAAACTTCTGAAGATTTGGGTAAGTTTGGGAAAAGTGGTTTTATTTTTGGTGTTAATTATAATCTCTGGTGTAATAGAATAAAATATTTTTGAGAATATATTTGATTATTTAGGTCTCTCAAAGGTTGTGAAAGAAATTAGGAATTTTTTTCTGGAAGGTGATTGATTAAAGTAGACTGGCTTTTGATGTTATGTGAAGATTTGTCTGTGTGACTTGAATTGTGAAAATATTTATCACTCATATTCAGCACTTGAGTAGTCAAAGCTAAAGTTCTTTTTCTTCATCCTCACAATGAGATGCTTGAAAATACATTCATCTGCTTCACTGCCATACATTCACTTCTAAAGTTGGCCATTTTAGGTCCAGAAATATATGTCATAATTCAGTATATTTCATTTCACAAGTTTCTTTAGCAATGAGGCATAGGTGGCCCAATCATCCAAGCAGCCGTGATTGTCTGTGAAGAATTCCATTTCTTGGGCCACATGGGTTCGAATTGCGGTTTGCCCTGATTTTGTTCGTAGAGATTTTCAGCACGATACCTGAGCTCAAGGGTTTCACCAAAGATCCATATGTATGAGCTCTACCTGCATCACACAAGGCTTTCCATCAACATTATTCTGGGATACTGTTCAAAACAGAATTAAAACTCACTCACTTTTATGAAACCCAAAATACTTGTGAATATTAATAAATAAATGTCATGAAAGGGAGATAATTTGTTCCAGAAACATTCTACCTCAGGCACACAAAAGAACACAAAAGAACACAATGTCCTGAAGTGTGTTGTTTGTCTGTTCCACAGAAAAGAACTATATGACTTCAAATAGTGACCTTTCAAAGCCCACAAGACAATACCCACTACCTTTGTGGTCTACTGGATAGAGGTCAGTTAAGTTTGATCACTGGCTGCATCATACCAGAAGATGTTGAAAAATGGTACGTTTTGTTACTCATCCTGATGCTTGCATTGAGGGCATACAACAAGGACTGGCTGGCTGAAGTCTATCCATGTTAAACTGAGGCAGGGTATATAAGCCAGCACGATAAGAATGGCATTAGTACATTAACAGCAACACAAATATCCACAAGCTTGCACATCACTACACGAGTCAGATGTGTTGAATGTGATGTTAAACTCCTCTTCACCTCAGTTCAGCTCCAACAGCGACGAAGCTGTATCCAGCAGTATTCACTTGCCTATCTCTGGCCACTGTCACAGACTGTGAGTCTGTAAGTGAGTGAGTAAGGTTTTACTCACTTTGTTTAACAATTTTCAACAATATCACGGCTGGGAACACTATAAATGGGCTTCATATATTGTACCCATGTGGGGAGTTGAACCTGGGTCGAACACTTAACTATCCACAAGACTACCACATAATCCTTCACAGACTGCAGTGACAAAGTCTGTCAAATGAATTGTCTGGAGCAACAGTGCTTGTGCTTATGGTATCTTGATTCTCATAAAGTATTTACAACAAACTGAAAATTACATTCAGTCCTTTGTTATTGTTCCAGGGTGAACACCTTAGCTTATAAGGTATCATCAAAATATATGACAGATGAACCGTAACTGTTAGCACTTGACCAATGATCACCTGATCGAGGATCTTTGAATGTCACATGACATATCAAGCTTCCATGACAACAAAGGCCGCCTGTCTTTGTGAACCAGCGACTACCTTAACAGAAAACCAGTATATATTTCACTTACATAGTATGTCCTCCGATAGCTATGGCACTGTTCATTAAGGTTGCTGGTTGTGCAGACAAACCTCAGCGTAGGAGACATCGTCATTGTTTACATGGCTGTTATTGTCCTTTTGTCTTCACCATTGATGGTCAGCTTGAACCGTTTTACCTTCTTGTGTACACTGTAACCAGATAACGCCAAAGTGGCCGCGAATTCAGGAGAATGCAGGCTCATAGAAAACCTTTAATGAATTCTTTGATATATTTATTGGATTAATTGTGTAGCCAGACCATTGAGCTTTTAATTAAATGGGCGTGTTGGTGTTTTTGAGGGTTGTTCCTCTGCAACCTGTAATAGTCAGTTGCCTGGCTCGTGTCATTCTTAGTGACTATTGCATGTGTTACATGCTTGTGTTGTTCAATCGACATTTTGACATTTTTTAAGAATATCTGATTATGAGAGATGTACATGATATTGAGCTTTATTGTCTGAAAAGAAAACCTTTCAAGAAAGTTATCATGTGATATTTCCATGTGGTTCTGAAAAAAATTATCTTCTTTGATGAATTTTATGGAATTCATTGTAACAGTGATATTACAAAGAAGGCAAAAATTTATAGATAACACAACTTTGAAGGTGCATTTCTACAATACTTTGGCAATTGCAGGTTTCTTCATTTTTGGGATGATGATATGTTCTCCGAGTATCGGACTATCTATGATTAAAAAAAACAAGACCTTAATTACTAATATTCTGTATCTGTAGCAAAGATTTTATGAAAAAGAAAAAACATTTGAGACCCTACATTCACTGTTATAAATGACATAGGCATTTACATGTGACCTTGCCCACCTGAAGAAGGAGCACCTGTTGTGAGTGGAGGTCAAGGTCTTTTTACTTTTGGTCCCAGAAGCCTGCTTTGTCAGGAAAGTAGTGTTGGCTTTGGTAATTTGATGATGATGACATTTTGAAAATGTATGATGCACATTGCAAGCAGTCTGCTCATGATTTATTCACAGTTACCTTGGCAAAAACTATTATCAGGGTATGATCAGAATTAAGGAAGATTCAACCGGTGTCTTGTATCCTGTCAAGAAGACTTACATCAACATTGTAGACATGTTGGGAAAGAAGAAGCCATTGAAGAACTCTCTGCAGAGGAAAGGCCAGGGTAGAAACAGTTAGGTTCAGCTTGCTCAAATACCACAGCTACAGAATTATTCCAAGCACTGCATATATCATCACTTCCGATGTAGGGATTGAGCCTGAAGACTGTTCCAGAAAAAAACATTTACCATCATTTCTTCCAATGGCTTAGAGGGTATGTGATTAATGCTGCGTAGCGACAGATGAAAAAAATGGTCGCCGCAGAATGGTATGTTTTATGGTAGAAATAGCAATACATGTGGATTGACCTGTAAGTTGTTGGGGCCAAGGTACATGATCGGTAGGTAGTCTTGCCAAGGCTCAGAACTGAATGATAGGTTCAGGGATGTGTAGTACTTCTTTTCTTATAATAGGCAAGATGAGATAAGCAGAGGGTACAGATTCCTGCCATTTGTTGGGACAACTTGTTCTCATTATTTTTGTTATCAAGAAATTAATATTTATTCTGCAGAGACTTGTGCAAGTCTACATGATCAGAAGTTTAACGTGTGAAGGTTTTCTTAAAAATTGTTTGATGACAATCTGAGATATTGAAGTATGGTCTGATTTGAAATATGCATGAGGTAGACTGAAAATTTTATTCATCTGATTGAGACATGATGTTTCATTTTGCTGACAATATTTGTCAACTAATTATTTTATGACTAATAAGGAAAACTAAATTGTAAGAATGTTGCGTATTTCTAGTTGTTGGCTCCAAGACATGGGAAGAACCATTTTGTCTCTGTATTTGTCTTTTGTCACATTGTTTACATAAACTCTTTGTATCATCACAATTTGATAGAGATTCCTAACTCATGCTCACGATATTGTTGGAGTTCCAGCTGCAATAAATTCTGCTTTTGGCAAAGATTTCTTATGAATATGGAAACGGTTTTGTCACTTCCATATTGTTGAAAAGGTTTATGTCACTTTCTTATCTGAAGACTTCAAAGATTCACTGAAAAAGACTCATATATGCTGTTCAAATTAGAAAAAAGGAAATATCAAGTTTTGGTGAAATGTTGAAAGCTGACAGGTCTTACTACCAATATGTCCAGATGTAACTCCATACAGCATCTATGTATTTTTTAACTGTCATGGAAACACATATTTTGCTTACAGCTCATTCACCATCAAAGGGCTGATAGATTCCTAGGAATTTGTTGGGAGTGAGTAAGTGAGTTAGCTTTACACTGCATTCAGCAATATTCCAGCTATATGGCGGCGGTCTGTAAAATAATCGAGTCTGGACCAGACAATCCAATGATCAACAGCGTGTGCATCGATCTACCCAATTGGGATACGATGACATGTCAACCAAGTCAGCGAGCCTGACCACCCGATCCCATTAGTCGCCACTTACGACAAGCATGGGTTACTGAAGATCAATATTCTAACCCGGACCTTCACGGGTAGAATTTGTTGGGACACCTTGCTTTACCATATGATTTGAGTCATTATCCCATTATATCATATATATATATAATAACTATTTCCATGGAGTTTTCACAACTCATTACTCACTGGCATTTATTTTAATGGTGATTGGTGGCCCGAGCTTGGTCACTTGACTGACTGTTTGTCGTTGTACCACAACAAAGTGGGCTATTGCTCCAGACTGTCATCACTCGATTGCCTGGTCCAGACTCAAAAGGCTGCCATCATATGGCATCAGTATTTCTGGGCATAGCATAAAGTGACAAAAGCTTACATTTTAAGAAAATTGTGTAAGAAGGTGCTACTGGTAGAGCAGAAAATGTGAACACCTGGTGTCATGACTTATTTTCAGTGATTCATTTAAACAGTTTTCATCGCTATTTTGGCCTTTATGCTCAAATCAGTTTTGGCAGATCATCAAGGCTGATTATTCTCTGGCATCAGCATTCTGAAACGTGCAATAACATATTTGTGAATTACCTGTGTAATCTCATTCAGTCAAATCAAGTATTGGTGTAGTATTTGAAATCAATCAGTTGATCATGTCAATCAATAATTATGGTTCCTTAAGTGAAACATTACCATAAACTACACAACGAAAATGAGCACTTGATTGATTTCCTCATTAGACAGGAAATTGTTATGGGTGTTTGGCGACACACTTAACTGTTCAATCTCTGTTTACACAGAAGCGAACAGAAGCCATTCCGTGGATTCTTATGCAGCCATTTGCTACACACAGATCAAAACTCTGTGTTAGAAGTCGCATACCTTCACTGAGACCAGAATCAGCTGGCATTGATTTCGTGCCTTGTGTAATCGACAATCGTTTTCCTTGACTAATGTATTCATAGATTATACATAAATCACTCAACTGCCTAATCATATTGTTAAAGATGTCATTCGTCTGCAGTAATGCATTTTGTGTTTTCTAATCAACTAATGGAAAGATATGTAATTAGTGTTGTTATTTTGCCTTTTAACTTTCGGCTAGACTAACAACTAGTCTCTGAAATGAACATATTTTACTGAAAAAAGTTCATAGTAAAAAAAAATATAATATAATGAAAAGGAGCCCTGAGACTTTCTTCATTTGAGGAAATCTAGACTTGATGCATTTTCTAGACTTGCGTGGGCTTTCTTATATATATTTGCTTCAGGGTCTGTATGACAGACTACTTTTCGGCTAATGGCTGCCCGAGGAATCTGAGGCATTTGATATATATGTATAGAGCTGCTGACCATCATTGACCAAACCTGAATCACTGTTGATGTCATGCCGACAGCAATGTTAATAACATGACAATAATAATGATATCACAGTCAGTCATTGTTGAACAAATGGTGTGCAATGATATCACAGTGATTGTGGTGTCACAATCTTATCATTGTTGATATAGCATGTAATAACATCTGTATAATTATGATGTTACAGTTGTTGATTTCAGTGTAATAACAATGATGTCACAGTCTGTTATTGTTGATATCATGTGTAATAGCATCACAACAGTAATGATATCACAATCTGTTATTGTTGATATCATGTGTAATAGCATCACAACAGTAATGATATCACAGTCTGTTATTGTTGATATCATGTGTAATAGCATCACAACAGTAATGATATCACAGTCCGTTATTGTTGATATGTGTAAAT